CTTGCATTTTGCTAGAATTCCTAGGTTTTCTTTTGTCCACCCGTCTATTGATGATTGACCACAAGTTTTCAATATGATTGAAATTGCTTTATGGCAAGGTGCTCCATCATGCTGGAAAAGGCATTGTTTATCACCAAACAGCTCTTGGATGGTTGGGAGAAGTTACAGTACTCTTGGAGACATTGTGGTACCATTCTTTATTCATGGCTGTGTTTTTAGGTAAGACTGTGAGAAGCAACCCCACACATGAATGGTTTCAGGATGCTTTACAGTTGTTATGAGACAAGACTCGTGGTAGCCCTCACCTCGTCTTCTCCAAACAAGCTGTTTTCCAGATGTCCCAAACAATCGGAAAAGGGATTCATCAGAGAAAATGACTTTACCCCAGTCCTCAGCAGTCCACTCCCTCTACCTTTTGCAGAATATCAGTCTGTCACTGATGTTTTTCCTGGAGAGAAGTGGCTTCTTTGCTGCCCTCCTTGAGACCAGGCCTTGCTCCAAGAGTGTCCGCCTCACAATGCTTGCAGATGCACTCACACCTGCCTGCTGCCATTCCTGAGCAAGCTCTGCACTGCTGGTAGCCCGATCCCGCAGCTGAAAACACTTTTAAGAGACGGTCCTGGCGCTTGCTGGTCTTTCTTGGGCGCCCTGGAGCCTTTTTGGCACAATGGAACCTCTCTTCTTGAAGTTCTTGATGATGCGATAGATAGCTGGCTGAGGTGCAATCTTTCTAGGCCATTTTTGTGCAGTGCAATGATGACTGCACGTGTTTCTTCATGGTTCACAGAAGAGAAACAATGATGCCAAGCACCAGCCTCTTTTTAAGTGTCCAGTGGTGTCATTCTTCCTTAATCATGACAGATTTATCTCCAGCCCTGTCCTTATCACCCACACCGGTGTTATTGGAGCAATCACTGAAATGATGTTAGCTGGTCCTTTTAAGGCATGGCTGCAATAACGCTGAAATGTGTTTTGGGGGATAAAGTTCATTTTATAGGCAAATATTGACTTTGTAATTAATTGCTGTTATACTGATCACTCTTTATAACATTCTGCAGTATATGCAAATTGCCGTTATAAAACCTGAAGCAGCAGACTTTGTAAATATTAACATTTGAATCACTCTCAAAACTTTTGGCCATGACTGTACTATAGGTGGCCCAAGAAAATGTTGAGGTTTCCCCTTTTTGTCCAACCCCACTTAGACCTGAACAAAGGGCCGCCAGCTTTTAACCAAAGCTTGGGTTGAGATTTTGAAAAAGTTCGCACAGGAAACCCTGTCAGGGTTAGATGAGGATAGGTGCAGCTATAGGTTGTAGGTTTTCAGAGGATTTAACTGAAACAAAGTGGCAAAATTTTGAACTTTTATAGCACAGTAAATGTTACTGAAAAACAATAAGTGGTCTGTAGTTATGAGGAACATTTTTCTCACAATATATATTATTTTCTACATTCTGGTGATGTTTAGAGAATTGAAGTAAAGCAGAATGGGCTCTACTAAAACACTTGCATCTTGAATATACTCTAAACTAAGAATTTCACAACTTTGTTCATTAATTATTCTCTACAGTTTAAGTAAATTAAACAATGCGGAACTAATAAACTATTACTGGATTACTTGCAATGATAAAGGAACCAGTGCAATAGAAACCTATGCAAACTGTCTATGAATATATGGTAATAGGCTAAGGATTATAAAGCTTCAATCATTATGTTATTAGTTTTTCTTACAATTGACAAAACAGCTAAACAATCCAGACCTTCTAGGAGGCTGTAGATTTTATAAAATATCACCATGACAGGAGACAGCACTTCTCTGGATGTTTCAGTTTGAAGGTGTGATTGAAAGTTTTTTAACATATTCAATGGACCAAAATAAAGATAAATTAATATGATAAGGGATAATAAAAGAAGAACATCCCTGTGGTTCCTTCTCTATGAATCCTGGATAACCGAGTTTTTCTGCACATCCTCTCTGAATGTGGTTGGTGTTTTCTTGGGTGGCTGACCATTTGAAAAATAAAATGCAATGGTTCTTTTTCTTTTTGAGAGATAAACTTGAAAGCTTTAAGAATTAAAATATTTGTGTTGGTTTAATTAATCTTAAACACCAATGGGAGATTATTAAACTAGACTGAGCAATGATTATTTAACTTGTGAGCAAAACATGGACTAAAACTGGGACTAAAAAAGCACCAGGTAAAGAGAAAACAAACCATTTAATGTGATCCTACACTCTAACTACACAGCAATAATTTAAGCAAGCTGCTGTATTTTTTTTTTATATTTACTCAAGCACTAGAATGCTTAAAATTTTCAATAATTTACAAAGAGAATTATCCTAGTCCAGATGAGATAAGATAGAAATTAAAATTATATATCTCATAACAACTGTCTTTTTTCATATCTGGCACAGTGAATAGGTGGGAATATGGACTGGATATGAACCTGGCATGTCCTTGTGTGTTAGCACTAAGGCTGTATTAAAAACACGGACTGGATTTTGATCGCCGTGGTATTTCTATACATAAATAAGTGGAACTGATTAGAGTTTTAATGTCTGTCATTTTTTAGTGTAGGAAATTGGGAATATGGAGTGAGAGTGTGTGAAGACTGAGATGGGTAAGTCTCACTCCCAATGGGTGAGAGTTGACAGCCCTGTGAACATATGGTCCCTTTGCACCTGTACCCCCCCAAAACCAGATGTAATATAGACAATGGTTTCTAAGCTTTATTTAGTCCAGAAATGTTGAAAATTGGGCTGTGTTTGGTCGGTCTGATTTTGTCCCTTTTTAGTCCAATAATAGACTTAACAGTAATAGACCACCTTAATCCAAAAATAATTTGAAAATTAAACCTTTTCACTTTTCAACCAAATAGATGTCGTTGGGACGTAAATCATGTCCTCCCAATTTTTGCTCGATGGGACATATGGAACTCACACCACCATTACTCTTGTCGTCTCCATTTTTTTTAAATCTGTGATTATATTCTCTATATCCTAAATTGTTATCCTAAAAAAAAAAACATATTACAGTACATTCTTCTCAAAATTAAACAGAAATACATATATTTATTAATATAGTGAAACACTGAAATATATAGCACTCTGCATATGTGTAAATCTCTTTATTGTCCCACAATGAGGAAATTTGTTTCTTTTTTAATTTAACCCATCCCCTCGGGGAGCAGTGGGCTGACATTGTGCGGCGCCCGGGGAGCGATCAGGGGTTAAGGGTTTTACTCAGGAACCCAGAGTGCAGGCTGTGGGGATTATACCGGGTACTTGCAATCTTCTCAGAGCACAAGCGCACTGCCTTAACGCACTAGGCCAACACTTCCCTATACAATATATATTAGGGATGGGACGATTTATGAAAACCGTCAGAATCGTTCGGTTCGACTGTCTCAGTTCGGTTCGCGTGTGTTTCGTTCGGTTCATGCGCTGCTCCTTTTTCTCATAGAGGAAGCGATTACACTCCAGAGCAGAAGGTGGCGGTACTGCGACCAAAGCCAACCGCCAGTAGTAAACAAGAAGAAGAAGAAGCGAAGCAGCTTAGCCGGGTGTAGCAGGGAAAAAAATCAGTTGTTGTGGAGAATTGTGTCGGACTGGCGAGTGGGAAAGAACAGGAGTTGGAAGACGCGCCAGCAGCACTTTATAGGTCTGCTGTATGGGAGCGCTTTGCATTTAGAGTGACCTACGATGACAGCGGAAAGAAAGTTGTGGATAAAAGTGCAACAGTGTGCAAGCATTGTGCAACACGTTTTGTTTATGCTAACAGCAACATGTCATGCTAACCCCGAAATCCCTCATACTCCGTCAGCAACCCCCGCTGCGCTCCAGACCGGCTGCTCAAAGCACAGCCTACAGCCCCCACTGTGGCTTCGTCTGCTCCCCTCTGAGTCCCTTGGAGATGGTAGAGGGCATGTAACCTGACAACAGCCAGATGCATGAGCGAGACATGCATCTGGCTGTTGTCAGGTTAGAGAGCATGCGCCAGATGATTAAATTCAAAGCAGCAAAACATACGGAAATGATCCAGGGTTTCCGCGGATCATTTAAAATAATTACAATGCATTATTTTTGGGGGGATTTTTTCATTAATTTCATAATTTTTTATGGAATTTCGGTGTAACAATCAACATGTATCAAATCGAACCGAAAACCGTGACCAGAAACCGTGAATAGAACCGAACCGTGGATTTTGTGAACCGTTCCACCCCTAATATATATACAAAATACTGTATATACAATTCTTCATTAAAGGAGATGGCCACAAGTTCAACTCTACCCTGCCAGTAAGTGGTAAAGTTGTGCTCGCCAGCTCTTTATCCAACCTTTAATTTTACTGTATTGGCATCCAGTTGCCAGGATTGCTAATGCTTATATTAACATCGGCCACATTTAGCTAATATTTAACTTACCTGGCCATAAGAGAGACGGCAACCTCTGTTTGCCTTCTGAGCTCCTTTGCTTCATTAAATCAGCGCAAACACTTTTTTGGTTTGCTTGAATCAGAGAACTGTAAAACTAAGAGGAAACCATTTTTCAGAGGTATCAGACCTACTAGGATCTGACAATCCTGACCTTCGTCTCACATGACTTCAATGTACTATTCCGTCGATGGAGAATTGTTTTGTGTAGGAGTAAATACAATATATTTTGGACCCATCCAAATTTATATGCAATATATATGCTTTTTCTGTCAAATTAATACTTTTATTTTACAACTCTCTAGACTTTCTGTGACATTGTTATTTCTAGAACAAAACAATTGCTGATTTGTCGTAATGAGCTTTACTGGCAAAAATTAGAAATAGAAAACAAGTTGACAAACAGGTATGAAATGTGAGGAAAAAAATGGCAAAGGGACCATTCATCCAGTGCCTTATTATATTTTTTCTTTTCTTTTTTTTTATTAAAAATCAATTCTCTAAATCCAAATGAAAACACATTATTTAAATCTGGCCTCCTTTTCTCTCTACTCTTGTTCCTGCAGTACGGCATCAAGAAGAAGGAGGAGAAGGAAGCCGAGGCAGCAGCTGCTATGGAGCAAGCCTCAGAGGGCAGCCTTACACGCCCCAAAAAGGCCGTCCCCGTCGGCTGTGGTGACGAGGAAGAGGAGGAAAGCATCGTGGATACCGTCATGAAATTCATCCCAGCCCCTCTGATGGATATGTTCAATAAAAAGTAACAGGGCTTTGTCCGCAAATACATTTAACTTCTTACAACTTCTTTCTAATTAATGCTGTACAAGCCTGTCCCACTCCAACCTGCCGTCATGCTCTACTTCACACGCGCCCCATCCTATCAAACCAAATACTAAGTGTCCTGGAATTACGCAGCGTGCCATGATTTTTTCTGAGCTAAACTGGCCAATCTTAGACCGTGATTCATCCATTTGATATCATAACTCTGTTATCCTGTCTTAAAAACACCTGCACAGATCTCTTTATTTTAAGCTTATCTGATTACATCTTTTCATAATTTGCTCAGAATAAGTTTAAACATCATCACCTTTTTGTTTGTAAATAGTCTCAGAAGTATAAAAGAGTACTATATATGACTTAAAATATCGAAGATAACAAGATAGCTAAGAGTATAAGCCATATTTTTACCTTTTAGGAACTAATCCAAATCATATCAAATTTGATTAAAATTTAATTTATCCTTTTACGTTCCTCCTAGTATTTGATACAGTGTACATAAATACATTTTTAAATCGGTTCTCCATTGTGGCCATTCACCCTGATCTGATGTTCTCCTTGAGTCACAGTGAATGTGTAATATGAGCACTACTTTGTAACACGTGTAAAACAAACAGTGAAGGATATTTATTTGTAATAAAACATATTTTGATTTGTTTATTTTTAATGCATGCAGCTAATACCTATAAAGTAATGTGCATATATGGTTTCAGTTTCATCTGTACTGATGAAAGAGAAGATGTTGGTATTTTAGGCAATAAATAGTCCTCCAATATTTTTATTTAATTAAAACATTTCATTCCACTTCGCTGGACTTTAGAAGATAACTGACTTATTGTTAAAAATGTTCTTCCATGGAGAAACAGTTTTTTTTCTCCATATGTGAAACTTGTCTTAAAGCAGGAGGGTAAAATTCCATAAATTAAAAAAAATAAATAAACTCACTGGTTATATTATATTTGATTGTGGCTTACAAAAAATTGTTTTGTGTTTGCCAGTGTTATTTAGTCATCTTTTAAATCAAGACGTGTACAAGTTTAACCTGGCAGGTTAATTTGAAGCTAAGTGTAATATCTAACGCCGTGTTTTTTGTGTTTTTTTATTGTAAAAAAAAAAAAGAAGAAATTTCACAAACGCAACTAAGTTGTGTGCACACTATATGTGAACAGACAGTGACAATAGTGCAATATATTGGTCAAAATGAAGTTGTCCTGTGTCTGTTGGTTTAAAAAATGGGAGAATAGTCCCAAATCAGCAATAACAGACAATCTTCATTGTTTTGTGTTTTTAGAGTTACCCCTAAATGTTAGTCGATGTTAAAGACAAACATGTGTCAGCACACTGTGGTAAAGTGAAACTTTTGTAGGTCAGACATGCTAATCAAATCACCATAAAGTGGGAATTTAGGACCATTTGCTTCATATCATAAAAGTATCGCAAATGTTTCATCAACTTGCATTCACAACTCATGCGCTTCACTTGTTGTAATTACATTTAAAAAAAGCTCTTTTAGAGAGTTTAATGACTTTAGTAGGCAAAATATTTAATTCTACATTACAGACTCTGCTGATAAGCTGGTAAAAAGCTGCACAAGGATTAAAATCTGATTTCTTTTTGTAGGCCTTTCTTTTTGATTGTGGTTCATTCCAGAGTGTCTTGTTAAACATTCCAGATATTTCCAACATTCCACCAGTTTTATGCTGGTCATCCATTTACCTGAAAACAGATAACAATTACAGTTGGCCACAATGAATGCCTTCTTTGCCTTTCAGACTATTACATCACAATGTAGACCTTAATCTCTTAATCTATCTGTGCTTTTATAAGTAAACAATTATAGATTGGTTAGAAGAAAAGTAGTGAAATGACTGCCAATGCTCATTAAAGGGTAATTTTTGCTGCCGTGTACAGAAAAGCCCAAAATCCAATCAATGTAATCATCCATGTATTTTAATACGGTGGTGAATTTTTTTACTAAATGTTTTGTGATCAACTTGTGCACAGTAGGCGTAGTCATAAATAAGGATTTACAACGCATACATTTTGTCACAATATTGCGGGATATGTGTGTCCCTCTCCCTCCTATAAGTGAATTCACTTTTAATTCAGTGCTTTGTAAACACCATAATTACGTAGAATACAGTATACAGTACAACATAACATTGCTTTATTGCCACATATAGAGCATGTTTATTCAATGTCTTGTGAATTTGATGCATTAGTAAACCGCTGTTACAGCATAATGTCAGCAACACACCATGTGATAGTTGTCCCTGTGTTATACATAGCTATCAGCTAAAAGAACAGTTATTTAATTATACCAAAGAATAGTGATCTTCATCGCAGATTTAGCGGAAAAGTTTCCATTTGTGTTATAGTAACTTCTCAGGTATTATAGCTCATTGTTTGACAGTTTTAACAGAAATTAACCACAGCCGTCACTGAATTAGCATCACTATGAATAAAAGCGCATTATAACTCACTTAGCTATCAATTTAGTGAGTCAACAGCTACTATGTGTATATTGAATATTAATTTTGCTTCTGTTCAACATTTCTAAGCAGCTGCATCCAAGTAAAGAAAAACTTAGATTTATTTTTATTGTTTTTAGGACTACTATTTTTTTTTTTACTGACCTATTTCATAGCTACAGTAGCAAACTCAGTGTTAAGCTAACTAATATTTATAAAAACCTATTTCACCCGGGTAACATTTGCAATCTCATTGCATCAAATGAAGTTACAGTCAACTTACTTTTATTTATCTATTTACTTATTTTTGTCTTATAACATTTCAGCTAGCTACGTTAGCTATGCTAAGAATTAGTAGCGACACCACATAAATGGTCAGTTCACTCCTAAGCTACATTCATGAACAACGAGAACTTTGATCTTTGGTTAATTTACTGCTTTTAAATAGCTAGTGTCACCGATAGCAAGTTAATTGAACTGCCAGTTGGGTAATTCGCATCACAGCAAATTTTATTTTGAAATACATTCAGTCCTAGATTATGCTAAAAACTAAAATCACTGCCTTAAAATGAACAATATACAACATATAACTATATATATATACAACATAAACAACTTTACTTTCTTGCTTCTCGCAACTTAGGTAATAGGTCATATTTAAGTTTGAACATCTTTGGTCTTGGAATATTTTAGAAAGTTAAAATAACCGCCCTTGTCAGTTATACCAAGCAACAATAATTATTTTCAAAAGTATTTTTCAAACTAACGCTCAGAAATCAAATCATTGTCTGCATCTCGTTCAAGATCATTATCATTATGATCTCATATAAACATAAAATTGCTATTATACTGCCCAAACAAACTGTCCCAGTCTTTGGGCAATTCTACATTTTCCATGCAGTTAAAGTGTCAAAAACTCACAACGGTTGGACGTCATGTCTTTATGTCACTCATACACTCATTAATAGGTTTTAAAAACTGCCTGAATATAAATAACATGGCTTCTAGAAGAATAATCCTTTGATGTGACTTGAATGTAACGGTCTGACTTTTCTCTCTTCTAGCATCTGTCTTTTCTCTGTTCTCTGTGCTGAGGAGATGCTAGTTCTGGTGCACTTTTTGTTTTTTGTTTTCTTGTCTTTTGTCAGCGCTGTTTCTGTCCTCTGGTGGCTGGCATTTTGAGAAAAAGTAGAAAGACATGTTTTTATGTGGTGCATTAATTTGCACTGCGAAAAGTCTCCTCACCTTTCCCCCTCCCTTTCCTCTCTGTATTCCCCCTATGTGTTGGCAAAAGTGTATGCATGCTTTTGGTGTGCGATGTAGGCAAGGTTGTGGATATAAACGTTTCGTGTCCTCTCTGTGTTTCAAAGCCCCACGTGTTAGCCTCACTGCATGCTGTTTTAGACAAATATTTCAATATGTAATTTCCTGCAAAAATTGAATCACAGCACACTGAGAATAAAGTGATTTCATATAATTTGTCATAGTCTTGTGTTTCTGAATTTAAACTGTAATAGATCCGGGCCATGACTTATTCCAACACTGCGGAAATTTGGAGTCATTGGTAGAGGCCAGCCTTCACACTGCTTTTTGGAAAAAGATTCAACCTTACAGAATAATGTCTCTGTCAATCAATTATGTTTTTCATCTCCAAATGACATTTTTTTTTATAACTGGGATTTTATCATCAATAAAAATGATAAGGGCTGTAAACAGAATGCACTGTGTTGTTGAGATCATGATGGAAGCACAACCTGATTTATGATTGTGTCACAGTTAAAATGCCGACATCAAAGGTATGCTTTTAGCACCTTTGCCATACAAGCTCATGTGGTTTAAATGAGTCTGGGGTATGAGCATAGCCACAAGTTCCAAATTTAGCAAATGCATCCATAAAATCGCTAGTTTGTTGGCTCTGCGCTGCCGTAGCGCAAAGATGTCTGCCTCCATGGCTGCGAGACCCGCTCCTATTGTAAAGGAAGAAAATATTCTAACATAGTTAACTTTGGAAAAAGATTGGCTTCTGATTCTTCCCTTCCCCAGGTCCACTCGGCGAGCTGCGTTTGGTAATAAAACCAACATTGCGTGTTGACGTCACAGAATTACAGAGTTTAATCCAATATAAGACAATGCATACACTTTAGAAATAAGACAATGCACAAACCTACACCAGAAACTGCAGAACAACAGAGACATACATTCCATTACCTGACATAGGAGGAAAGAAAGCAAAGAGTACAGAGACATCTTTGGAGAGTTGCAAGGGCAAATCTGATCTTTTTCTTCTATTTAGAAAGCTTTATCCTCTTGTATCTAATCCATTCAAAAAGGGCTGGCCCTCGGTCCTCCAACCAAACGCCATCTCTGACACTGCTAGGGCTTCCCCTTATTTACTGCAAACATCTGGGGTCATTTGCTTCTTTGTTTTAACAAGAAAAGGCGGAAAGCTTGTCCTGGCCTCTAGAATTCCTAAAGTCATAAAACACAAGATAAGCTCTCACAGACAGCTTGTGGAATGCGGGGGGCCTCCTGTGCTTTGAATACTTACCCATTAGTAGTTTTAAATCATTAACACAGCCTTGTTCAAAATTAAGAAATATGTTCAAGTGAGAGTGTTTACACATGCCATAAGATTAACTGTAATAAAGTCTAAAAAATAATCATTTTTCTTTAACACTATGTAATTATAAATAACGAATTCTAAGGCAACGCAAATATTAAGGTTAAGAGGCTGAGCTCGTAGATGATGATAAATAACATAGTTATGTATAATATATTACATTTCTGACTGTATATCCCTGTAATTATTACACACTGTAGCTTTAAGTACAGTAACGAAGTATTTGTACTTCGTTACTTGACACCTCAGACAGACAGACTATACTCTGCTGCCACAGATGAGAAAAGTCTATGGTCTGCTCATTTTACACTAAATATTTTCATCACATGGAAAAATTGTTACTGTATTATTAGTGGCGGCACAACAAATATTATTTTCATATTTTTTAAATGAATAACTCCTAAACTTTTAACTTGGGTTCAGGAGCCAGTCTCAGCTTTATAAATCAAGGAGAGTGTATTGATGTAATATGTTCAACACTCACAATTGGTCAATGGATTGAAGGTAGGGCTTGTTTTCTAAAATGTTTCTTTAGCCTTAAATATTAAAATGGAACTGTTTTTTGAAGTTCTAATGAAATAATAGATAGTTGCTTGTTTAGGAAGCTTGCATTGTGGTTTGGTTGTCCAGACATTTTGATGGTTTATCTTGGGTAATGAGATCCGAGTCTTATAAACTAGGCAGCTGTCTTAATTTCCCTCCCTTTATACTTTAATTCAGGACTCAGGATTAGTCACTCAATATAAATAAGGAATATGTTTGTTAAATAAAAAAAGTATCATTATTATAAAAGGAATTTAAAATACTATTGTGCATTTTGGTTGTTTGTTGTACAGTGTCCTTAGGTGTCCTGGAAGGTGCTTTAAATAAAATTTATGATTATTATAAGTATTATTATTAATCTTAAAACTTAGATCTACCTGGAATATGAATGACTTTGTTCAGGCTTCAGGACTGTGTAAATAAAGGCAGGCATTGGTTGATGAAGAGGGGGTACAAGGCCTGCCTTTGATTTCCCAAAAGGTAAATAATCCCTTAAGTGGCATCGCTAGCTGGTATCTTGCATTAGATTTAAAGTGTCAAATACCCCATAATCCAGATATTTGGGAAGAGG